GCACGTTGACTTATGGATCTCTCCCATTAGCACTGCAAAAAGGAACTTCTCCGACCAAAGCTGGTAGTAGAACTGACCTATGAGTATACACATTATTACAATTACAATTCAACCGGCACATCCAGTCTATTTAGCAAAATTAAAAAGCAATAATGGGACAGGTGCTGTGGCTCGTGCCTGTAATCCCAGCACTCCAGGAGGCATCGAGAGCAGCAGATCTCTCTGAGTTCCAGGCCAGCCTGCTCTACAAAGCGTGTCCAGGAAAGCCAAGGCTACACAGAGAAACCCTGTCTCAAAAAACCAAAACAAACAAACAAACAAACAAAGCAATAATGGTGGCTTCTGAACTATCACCTATGATCTAGGATGTTTGAGCAAATTTGGAGCACCAAGTGTGGAATACAAACTGTGGAGGAGACCAACAAAGCCACTTGGTGTCTCAAACAATATGGTCTCATCATCTAGTTCTGTTGGGGTGCTAACCTTTGTGCAAATGCTTATATTGTTTTGAGGGCTTCAGAGCACCTCCCTGACCAACCATGTGGAGAAAGCTAGCCCATTCCTGGTGGTACTGGGATGTTCATTTAATAATATATGGTTTCTGGAAAGAGCTTTATCAATCCATGTAGAGTACATCTGTTTAGATATTTTGTAAAAGAAATATGCCATGTTGTGCATGCGGAGGTAAAAGCACAACTTGCAGGAATTGGATCTCTCCTTCCACCATGCAGTCTTAAGGACTGAACTCATGTAGTCAGGGTTGGCAGAAACTACTGGCCCTGAATGCTTTTTCTGTTTGTTTGTTTTTTAACTGGATTATCTTACTCATTACCAGGCTTCTTTTTGGCTTTTTTTGTAAATCCTTAGTTTTGTTTGATCATTCTGCACAACTCTTTTCCCTAATCTCACTCTCCTCTTGTTTAACTCCTCCTCCCTCTGTTCCCTCATTCATTTTCACTTCACACTTGCTTTATTATCTACCCCCTTAAGGCCTCCTTTTCATGAGCATTTTGTTATGCACATTCACTTTCCCACAAATGAACATATATGAATATTAGCAGTTACCCCTATGTATGAGAGAAAACCTATATGTCTCTTTTTCAATATGATATTTTCCAGTTCCATCCATTTAGTTGTTACTATGATGGACCTGCCCTTATCTGTAACTTATTCCTTCTCTATTGAAAATTTTAATTCCCTTTCTTTGTTCTGTATATTTAGTGTTTTGAATATAATATGATAAGGGGAATTTCTTTTTCTGGTCCTGTATACTTAGTATTTTCATCCTTCCTATGCTTGGGTAGGCATTTCTTCTCTAAACTTGGGAGATTTTCTTCTATGGTTACTTTGAGAAAATGTCCAATGCCTTGAGCATGAATTCTTTGTTTATGGCCATAATTTATAATAATATGTCCCTTGGCCATATCTCATAGATTTTGTCTTTTCACCATTTCCCAATGACCTCACATGTTCTGTTTAAATGCTTCCTAAAACATGATTTGTTTTCTTGACTGAATGATCCAATTCCCCTAACTTGGCTTTAATGTAATGCTCTGTCCTTCATATCTGTTCCTTCTATCAGTGAAGCCTTTGTCTTAGCTTTTTATTTGACTTATTTTTAAAAGATTTATTCATTATTTATACAGTATTCTGCCTGTGTGTGAGCCAGAAAGCCATAAGAGGGCACTGGATCTCATTAGAGATGGTTATGAGCCCCCAGTGGTTGCTGGGAATTGAACTCTTGACCTTTGGAAGAACAGCCAGTGCTCTTAACCTCTGAGCCATCTCTCCAGCTCCAACTAGCTTAATTCTAATTAATTGTTATAGTGAATAAAGGAGCAATGAATATTGGGGTGCAAATATCTCTATGGTAGGATATGGAGTTCTTTGGGCATATGCCCAAGAGTAAAGTAATTGGGCCATATGGTAGATTTACTTTTAAAGTTTTAAAGAAATCTCCAAAATAAAGTCCATTGTATTAATTTGCACCCCACCAACAGTGAGGAAAGGTTCATTTCTCTCACATCTGCCCCAACATTTGTTGTCAAATTTGTTTTCTGACTGGGATTTGTAGTATGTTAAAGAGGTTTTAAATTGCATTTCCCTGATTTACGATATGCAACGTAGTAAAAATAGTTATTGGCCACTTGTGTTCTTTCATTTTTCTTGAAAATTGTTTATTCAGTTCATTTGCCCATTTGCTATTGGTAGTTTTATCCTCTTGATATTTAATTTGTGCAGTTCTTTATAAATTCTAGATATTAGTTCCCTGTCTGAAGTATAGCTTCAGTCCTGATGATGTTATCTCTTCTACATAATCCATTCTATCAAGGAAGCTTTTTCGAAGCTTTTTATTTGACTTACTGAACTTTTTAATTTCCAGTATCATTTCAGTTTTCCTTTTCTTAAGTACTTCTATTTCCTTCTTGAACTTTGTGTTCTTAATTTGAGTTGGCTTAATTGCTTCATTCAGCCATTTGTGTTCTCTTGGAATTCATTCAGGAATTTCTTCAGATTCTCTCTGAACTGTTAGATATTTATGTTCATTCTTGGAAGATATTTGTCTTGCATTTCATCTAAGCTCCTATCATAATATGTTGTTACTCTGAAATTGATAACTTGTGGAGGAGACATGGTGTCTTGGGTTTTCATGTTGCTTAAGATTTTTGTGCTTAAACTTACACATCTAACAAATTTTGTTGGCTGTTTTTTTGGTAAAAAATTGTTTGGTAGAGGTGTCTGAATGTTTAAGAGGGACTAAGTTGTAGTAGGGTTGAGGTTTCATTTTACACTGTTAGACTGATGTTAGTGATTCTTTTATTGCTGTTAAAAAATGCCATGATCAAGACAACTTATAAGGAAAGATTTATATTCTATTATGGTTTACAGACTATGGATAATAGTCTATCACCATGGCAGGGAAGCATGGTAGCAGGGAGGAATATTGTCATGGGTAGGAGGCTGAGAGCCACAACAACAGAAAAGTACCTAATACACTATCTTAATCATATCATGAAGTTAATGTTATAAGTGATATCATGTACTCCCCAATTTGGGGTAATGAAAATAATACATCACACTTCAGATATTGCCTCTCAAAGTCTATGACCCAGGTCTAATTAGGAGGAAAACAACAGACAAAGCCCATGCTACTCAGGGATACTAGGCATTGGAATACACACCTGTAATCCCAGCATTCTGGGATTCCAAGGCAAAGGTTGGCAATTGTCATGAGTTTGGGGCCATTCTGGTGGGCTACATAGTGAATTTGACGCCAGCGTGGTTTGCACAGTATGATGATGACTCAAGAAGGAAGAGAAAAATAAAGGAGAGGAGGAGGAAAAGGAGGTGGAGGAGGAGGAGGTGAAGAGGGAGGAGAAGGTGAAGGAAGAAGAGGAGCACTATTGGTAGTCATGACCATAGTCTTGCATTTCTTCCAACAGGTAAACAGGGAGTTTCCACATATCCCAGAAATTATACTATGTACTCTGTCCTACCTTGATTTCTGTTGCTATGATAAAACATTTTGGCCAACAAAACTTAGGAGAAGGAAGGCTTTATTTCGGCTTATGGTTCCTGGAAAGGTAGTGATCCATCAGCAAGAGAAGTCAGGGAAGGAAGTCAAAGTGGGGATCTGGAACAGAAATCAAGAAGGACAACTGCTTACTCACTTGCTACCTGGCTCATGTGCTAGCTTTCCTAACAATCCATGTCCACCTTCCTAGCAACGGTGCCACCCACAGTGGGCTTAGTCATATTAATCATCAGTCAAAACAACCTCTCAAAGACATGGCCACAGGCCAAAACTGATCTGGGAAATTCTTCATTTGGGGCTTTCTCTTCCCAGGTTACATAAGTTGACAATAAAAACCAACTGGGACAATACCCAAAGTAAACAAAAAGATGAACCCACATAAAATTTGTACACAGATATCTGTAGCACCATCATTCAGAATGCTGGAAACAGCCCATGTGTTTACCATTGGATGCATGGCTAAAAAGACATAATAGTATACTTTTCACAATTAATGAATTAAGTATTGATATGCTTAAACAGGAATGAGCAGTTGAAGTGAAGGAAACCAGATGCAAAAGATTAAATGCTGTGAGCTAGGAAGTATCTCACTTGATAGACTGTTTGCCCAAGCCCTGGGTTTGATTTTGAACACCTAATAATCTGGGTGTACTGGTATTTACCTGCAATCCCAGTACTCACTAGGGGAAGGCAGGAGGATCAGGTATTCAAGGTCATCTACAACTAGACTATTCAACACGAGCATGGGTTAATTGAGACTTATCTCAATAAAAATAAACTACAAAGGAAGACTAAATGTTATGTGATTCTACTCATATGCAAAGGCTGAAATGGCAACTCTAAAGACACTAAAAATATTTGGGATTCCTGAGTTGAGAGAAGGAATTGGGATTTAACTGAACAGAGGCAGGATGGGACATTGAAGAATGATAGAAACATTTAAAACTGAATTGCACTGCTCTCTATAGTACTACAAGTCATCCCATTGTATCTTTAAAATGATTTTTATTATTTATTTATTTATTTTATTTTATTAGATTTTATTTTCTGAAATTTACATTACAGGAAGGGTGTTAAATAACATAATATGGCCTGGAATCCCACCATATCAAGTAATTCTCATATAAAATTGTTGATGAACATTTTATATAAAAATGAATGTTTGACAATCAATATGTCAGAAATGGTAGGTAAACCAAACTCCCATTGACTGCATATCTGTGTAATTTTAAAGAATGGTCATGGTTTCACTCCCTACCACAGGTGCTAAGTTTAGGTACCTTGTTTGTAGATAAATAAAGGCCAGTTTACACTTCACTGCTTCCAAATGCAGCAGTGGCAGAAAGTGGATTTGAACAGAATGTAGAACCATCCCTCTTTGTCTTCAAGGAGTCCAAATGGCAGTACCTTTTTAAGCATCAATACTACAGTGCCTGCCCTAGGGTAAAGAGGTGCACACCTTGCGCCACCAGTTTTGCTTGCACAAATTCACTTTCAGGGCAATGTGAAGGGTGCTAGTAAAGCTGTGGTCATAAGGACTGCAATTGTCAGCATTCTCTTCCTCCTTTTCTAGCCGCACACTGGGAAGTGAATTCAACAGAACACAAAAAACCTGAAAGGAGAGAAGGAACAGAGGGAAATGTGGCTTTTAATGCCCCCTCCCCCACCAAACCACCACATGTTCTCTCATACACAGATACACCTACACCAGACAGGGGCACAAGATTAGAATTTAGAAGATTCGAATTTAGAAAGAATATTAGAATTCTTTAAGCCAGATTGCTGGGCTCAGTTAGGGCACACACCTCTCATTTCGCATACAGTCACATGAACTTGTTCCATTTGGCCATGTACACACCATGAAAATGCCACTCATGTAAGGCCCATGGCAGGGAAAATCAGAATACAATGGTGGTGTTAAAATTTGCTGTGTCATGTCTAAAGGTAGGAACTTTTGGAGACAGCGAAAACAAGTTATCAGGAAAGTAAGGGTACAAGAATATTTCACTAACAGATTATCAATCATTTCAAATGTAGGATGAAACAAGTGTTGTAAAAATGGGTAAGGGTGTTTTGCACTAACAGAAATGTACATATGTTTGAATATATGTATGAGACAACAGCAAGGTATTACATATACAGTTTTTGTTATTCAAAACCAGTAAAGGAACTGAATTTTTATCACTAGTATACTAATGAATAAATTTTGGGACATCCGTACAGTGAAATACTCAGCTAACACAAAAGTGAGATTGTTTTGAAAATAAGTTTAAAATGTCATAGAAATATATTCTTCTAGACAGTATATATTGTATACATGTAAGTGCCAGTATTTAGGAAGCATTGAGAGAGAGGTACTCCATGAAGCCTGTGCTACATAATGAATTCCAGACTTATGTATGCTGCACAGGAAGACTGCCAGGAGAGAGGGGAGTGAAGAGGAGAAAAGTGGACAGGAGGAGGAAGAGGGAAGGAGCAGGAGGAGGGGAGTGAGAAGAGAGAAAGGGGAGAGATGGGGGAAGGAGCCAAGGGGAAGGGATGTGGAATTGAGGAGAGAAGGAAATCAGGGAGGAGGTAGGAAAATCAGCAGTATTTATCCAGAAACTTCAAATCTTAAAAATACCTCTTTTCACATAAAACTTTGCCTTCATGATGATAGGCCTGGTGGTCCATAGTATCCCTGTATAGCAGAACTGTCCCCTCTTCTACTTAGGCTTCCTCAAAACTCTGAAGATTGGTTGGTAACAGCTACTCTTTTCTACCTTCCTGCTCGGTGGCATTCAAGATGCAGGTCAGAATTTTATCACAAGATTGCGCGAGTTCCTAACCTCTGACCAAAGGTCTTAGAAAGAAGCTTACAGAAAGAGGGGGAGAGTAAATCTCCACCTTTAAAACAAACTTATACAAAATGATTCTAGTTTTGTCTAAAAAAAAAAAATACAGGAGTGGAAGAGTATTGTCAAAACACACCAGGGAACACCAGGTAGCCCTTATGAGACTTCGCAGCAGCTAGTCACAAGCAGGCATACCACAGCCCAATGAACCTGAGTGACAGAACAGAGCTCCAGAGTGGGGCCTGGATAGCTGTTGCATAGCCTCCTGAAGAGGTGATGTCACAGGACAGGGTTGGGGAAGTTCTAGAAAATCCTGTCCAAGTGCGTGGTGATGGAAAATGAACACTCTACTCTTCAGAGTGTGTACATCTTAATTTACACAGAACACTGAAAAGACGGATCAGAGAATGCCAGGTACATTTGAGGCCTTTAGTAAACGGAAGAGTTTTAAAAATACACATGATCACATTTCAAAAAAAGACTATCAGCACAGTCCTGATGAGACCTGATAAGCTAGGGTCAGATGGAAGGGGAGGAGGACTTTACCTATCAGTGGAGTCGGGGAGGGGAATGGGAGGAGATGAGGGAGGGAAGGTGGAATTGGGAGGGAAAGAGAGCTGGGGATAAAGGTGGGATAAAACTTGAATAATCTGTAATTAAAATAAAAATGTAATTAAAAAAAAGACAATCAGCACAATAAGCCCCAACACAGCATTTGTTTCTCAGCAAAATGCCCACCCTTTCAGCTAAAATGAAAACCTGGTACCGCTTGGGTGCCATCTCCTGGTCACAGTGAGGACTGCATCTGTATCTGAGCAAGGGGCCACAGCAGGGGAAGAGAGGAACTTAAGTTACATACTGCATTTAAAGGGACCAAACCCCCTGGGTTGGGGAGGTTTTACACTTCTGTCTCCGCCATTTTCCAGGGCTATAAACAAGCACACTTTATGACATCTCTATACGTGAGATTGGAAGTTAGTTCTTGTCTGAACTGCAGATTGAGTTGCCACTGAAGGCTAATTTTGAGTTTCTGGAGTCTGGGTAAAGTGGCTAAAAGCATGTCATAGCCGTATGTATGAGGCTGAGGCCTCAATGATGTGAAAGTTTAAGGCTAGTATGGGCTACATATTGAGTTCCAGGACAATCTGGACTACAGAGTAAGACCCTGTAAGAACAAAACAAAACAAAACAACAACAAAAATACCCACCTGGTTTGGCATAATTAGAAATATACTGGTCCACAAACACAGAGTCCGTTTTATTTTTCCATTTCCCTCATTTTTCATTTTTCTCCATGAAACTGAATACATTCTGTTATGAAAACATGGAAGGTACATAATCTTTTGTCAGTTTGGACAAACATTTCCTGTTTTATGTTTTACAAATACATTTTTTCCTGGATACAAATTTCAAAAGCTATGAAAGCACATTCATTATTTGAAATAAATATACACTTTCTTTTTTCTTTGAGACAAGGTTTCTCTGTGTAGCTTTGGCTGTCCTGGACTCACCTTGTAGACCAGGCTGGCCTCAAACTCACAGCAATGTGCTTGCCTCAGATGCCCTGAGTGCTGGTATTAAAGGAGTGGCACCACCATGCTGCAGTCAAATATACAATTCTTGACCCAAAGGTGTCTGTCCCTGTAGGTGAGCTTAGATGATCATGGGCTCCTACATACAAACTTTTTCAAAAGTGGAATCAGTGTAAGCATTGTCATATGCACCTTGCATTTCCCAGTTCTCAGAAAATGAAAAGAAAACAGGTACATTTGCAATAACTAATTCCTATGACTGGCAAATTTCAACACCTCAGTCAACTTCTATGTGGTTAGAATGCCTATTCTGAAGCCATACAGCTTCACTTAGTTTTCCATACTTTCACCATCAATAATAATTATATGATTACAATTTACTATGATGGAGTGAAGCTAGAAAAAAATGGCTTTACATCATTTCATTTTGTCCACATTCTGTCATTCTTTGTCAGTTAATATTGCGCATTTTTGGGTCTCTTTCCTAAATATTGTGCTATAACCACACTTGTACTTGTTTACATATATACAGGAGTATATTATAGACTAGTCTGCATATGAGAGGGAACATGATTTATTTTTCTTAGTTTGAGTCATATTGCTTAATATGATACTTTCCAACTCCATTTATTTTCCTGCAAATTTCATGATTTCACTTTTCTTTACAGCTGAATAATATTCCAATGAGTATGTGTACCACTTTTATTATCTGTTCATCTGCTGATGGACATATAGGTTGTTTCTATTGCCTTGCTATCATAAATAGAGCAGCAATAAACATAAATTTTCAAATATCTGTGTTAGTATATGAAGTTCCTTTGGTATATATACAGGAGTGGAATAGATCAATCATATGATAGCTAGTTTTTTGAGGAATGTCCAAACTGAATAAGCAGAGGGTTCCTCTCTCCCACCACATCCTCACCAACATTTATTGTCAGATTTCTTTCTTTCTTCCTTCCTTCTTTTATCTCCCTTCCTTCCTTCTTTCCTTTTTTCAGATTTCTCCTTCCTTCCTTCCTTCCTTCCTTCCTTCCTTCCTTCCTTCCTTTCCTTCCTTCCTTCCTTTTTTCCTTCCTTCCTTCCTTCCTTCCTTCTGTCCTTCCTTGCTTTCTTTTTCAGACAGGGTTTCTTTGTGTAGCCCACACTTTCCTGGAACCTGCTTTGTAGATCAGGCTGAATGTGAACTTAGAAATCTGCCCACCTCTGCCTCCCGAGTGTTGGGATTAAAAGTATGCTTCACCACCACCCAGCCAGATTTCATGATAATAGCTATTCTGACTAAGGTAAGATGGGAGCTCAAAGTTACATGTACATATGTATGTAGACAGGAACTTACTGTGTAACTCTGGCTGGCTTGGAAATCACTATGTAAACCCAGTAACATTAACCTCATAGAGATCTACCTGTTTCTGCCTTCTGACTGCTGGAATTAAAGGCATGCACCACCACCATGCCTGGCTGAAAGTAGTTTTAATTTGCATTTTCCTGGTGACTAGGGAGGTTGAATATTTTTTTTCAATTTAGTTATTATCTTTACATCTCAATCTTAGCACCTTCCCTTCTCTCCTCCTGGTCTCTCCCCTTCATCCCTCCCTAATCCCCTTATCCGCCTTACCCTGTCCCTCAGAAAAGTCCTCCTCCAAACCCACTTTATCACATCCAGTCTCATCTGGACTGCCTACTTCCTCTTTCACAGTGTCTTGTCAGGAAGCTTTAACATGGGGAAGTGATCAAAAAGCATGCAACAGAGACCATGTCAGAGACAGCCCCCAATCCCCTTTCTAGAGGACCCACATGGAGGCTAAGCTGACCACTGGGTATAAGAGTGTAGAGAGCCTAGGTCTAGTCCATGCATGGCCTTTGGTTGGTGCATCAGTCTCTGCAAGCCCTCCCCCCTTGGGCCTAGGATAATTGGCTCTGTTGTCTTCTTATGGAGTTCCTGTCCACTTTGGGTCTTTCTCTCCCCCTCCCCCACTCTTGTATAAGGCTTCCTACTCTCCACCCATTATTTGGCTCTGAGTCTCATTTTCTGTTTGATCTGTTGTTGGGCGGAGCCTCTTAGAGGACAGCTATGCTGGGCTCCAGTCTGCAAACACAGTAGAGCATCATCAACAATATCATGGGTTGGCTCTCTCCCATGGAGTGGTTTCTTTTTAAATACAGTTACTAGACATTCATATTTCTTCTTTTGGAAAGTATCTGTTCATCTCAATAGCCCATTTATCAATTGGCAGTTTTATTTACTTGGCATTTAATTTTCATAGGTTTTTTTTTTTTTTTAAATTTTGGATATTAGCTGCCATCACAAGTATAGCTGGTACCTTTGATCACCTCCCCCTGAAGGGGGAGCAGCTTTATCAGGCCACAGAAGATGACAATGCAGCCACTCCTGATGAGATTTGATAGACTAAGATCAGAAGGAAGGAGAGGGAGACCTCCCCTATCAGTGGACTTGGGGAGGGGCATGTGTCAAGAAGGGAAAGGGAAGGTAGGATTAGGAGGGGAGGAGGGAGGGGTTTATGAAGGGATACAAAGTGATTAAAGTGTAATTAATAAAAGTTAAAAAAAAAAGAACTATAGCTGGTAAAGATTTTTCCATTCTGTGAACAGTCTGTCTACTGTGCTGATAATTTCCTTTGCTGTACAGAGACTTTTTTCCTTATAGTCCTGGTTGTCCTGGAACTCACTCTGTAGACCAGGCTAGCCTACAGAATGAACTCATAGAGATCCTTCTGCCTCCTGAGTACCTGGGATCTCCCAGAAGCCTGCTTCTGCCTCCCGAGTGCTGATATTAAAGATGTGCCCCACCACCACCTACCAGAAAAATTTCTATTTATATATTTCCATATGATGACCCTTAGAGTGAGTTTCTGTGCTACTAAAGTTCTGTTTAGAAATTTCTTCTCCACCCTAGTGTCTTGTCACTTAGCCACTATGTTTTCTTCTAGAACAGCAGGTTTTTCTCAACCTTTTTTTTAATGTCACAAATATGGTTAAATACAGTTCCTCCTATTGTGGGGACTCCCAATCACAAAAATATTTTCATTGCTACTTCATAACTGTAATTTTTCTACTGTTATATATAATAATATAAGTATCTGATATATGACCCCTGTGAAAGGGTTGTTCATGCCCACAGGGTCACAACCCTGAGATTGAGAACTGGTGCTCTAGAATCTTCAACAGTTCAGGTTTTAAAGTAATGTCTTTACTCCATTCCAAACTGGATTCTGTGTAAGTCAAAGGATATGGGAATGATTTTGTTTTTCTGTGAGTGGATATCCAGTGTTTTTTCTAACCCATGTTTTCACTGTCTTTGCTGAAGCTGTAGGTTTGTTGGTTTATTTCTATTCTGTTCCATTGGTCTAACGCTGTTTTTATGCCAATAACAGGCTATCTTTACTGCTCAGGCTTTATCGTATAATTTCAGGCCAAATATTGTGATATATAGCTGAGTTTTTAGATTTGTTTTGGTTATTTGTGATCTTTGGTAGTTCTGTATAATTTTTTTGTATTTTTTCTACATTTTGGAATATGACATTGGGATTTTGATGGTTATTGCATTGAATCTGTAGATTAATTATGTACTGAGAGAACCAGGCTTGACAACCCCAAAGGTCACTAGAAACTAGGCCTAAACAAGGTCACCCAAGTCACCAGGAACTAGTGACCCCACCCCAAGGTCACTAGTAACTAGGCAGGCCATAGGTCACCAATTGCAGAAACAAGGTCATAAGATTCCCTACCCAAGGAACAGCCTGAGGATAACCACAAGAACAGGAAGGTATCTTCTCTCAGGGTGGGGCACTTGTGCTGAGCAGCCCACCGACCTTGTAGTAGAGCATTTCATGGCACCGAAAATACCTAACATTTCTGAGGTCTATAGACAGCTCATTCAATGTAATGTTAGCTAGCCAATCACTTAGTAACAAGCTTGCCCTTGCTGAATATTAACCAATCATGTAACTGTTAAACTAGAAATTCCCTGTCCTTCCTCAAACCCCAATAAAAACCCTATTGTGCAGTTTCTTGGGGCTCTCTTCTCTGATCCACTGCACTGGTGCCAGTGGAGAGACAGAGCTTAAGCCGAAATAAAGCATACGTGGTCTGGCTCCTGGTGGTCTTTGGGGACGTTAAGATCTGGGCATAGCAGTACAGCCATTTCCCCAATATTCTACCAACCTAGGAACATGGAGTTCTCCATTATCTAGTGTCTTCTCTAATCCCCTTTGCAATGTTTTTTACTTTTATTTTGAGAGCTCTTTCTCTACTTTGGTTAGGTATATTCATAGACACTTTATTTTTCAAAGCTATTATGAATGAGAATTTACTCTAATGTCTTTCTCTAAGGCGTTATTGTTGTTATTGTTAGGACCAAATAAAAATGATGATGATGATGATGATGCGCATAGCAGATTTTATATGAAAGAGGTTTATTAGCTGGAGATGAAGAGAGAGAGAGAGAAGGAGATAGCGAGACATGATAGAGGACGGAGGTGGGGGGTGCGTCCAGACACAGAATGGGGAGAGGGCAAGAGAGGGGAGGAGCCAAGAGCCAACATAGTAGGTTGATCCTTTTAAGGAGCAGTGTAACCACATCTGCCAGGTGTGGCTACCTGGCCAGCAACATATGATGACATCATAGGTTGCTAGGCAACCCAGAAGCAGGCTACCTAAATACTAACAGTTATACATGAAAGATACTTTGAAAATACATACTCCAAAATACTGGGAAGGCTAGAAGAAATGGATGAACTTCTAAATGTATATGACTAACCAAAGCTAAAGCCAGAAGAAAGGAAGATATTTAAATTCATTTCAAGTAACACTATCAATACTGCAATCTAAAATCTCCCTGAAAAGAAAAGTCCAGGAAAGGTTGGTTTTGCTCCTTCATTTTATCAAACTTTCAAGCCAGATTTATTCTCAATTCTTTGGAATTTGTTACACACACACACACACACACACACACACACACACACACACACACACACCAAACAAACAAACAAAAGTAGAGCAAAACAAAGCAACAACAGCAAAGGAAAACCACCAAGCCTAAGCCAGTATCTACTAAGCCAGTATCATCTTTACACTAAAATCAGGTAAAGACACAAGAAAACTCTGAAGAAGACAAATGAAAAAAAAAAAAGGTAATAAAATGCTTCTAAATTGAATTCTGGAACTCATTTGGAAACTCATACATCATGACTAAGTGGGCTTGATCGCAGAGATGCATGGTTGGGGGAACATGCATAGATCAATAATATAAAACATCTTATAAACAAATCCAAGGACAGAAACCACATAATCATCTCAATTGATGCCAAAAAGCATTTGACTAACTTAAAGGTGTCAAAGGACTTGGAAGATGTTAGGAGTAGATGGGTCACATATTAAAATAATAGAGGTTATAAACAATAGACTTATAGACATTATGCTAAGTGGAGGCAAAAATGAGATAATTTTCTGTAAAAGTCAGGAATGAGACAAGGATGCCCATTATCCCCTGGTATTCAATATAATACTCAAAGTCTTGACAGCCAAGAGAAACACATAATAGAATAAAAGAAAGGAGAAAACCAAATTGTCCTTTTTTGTTAATAACATGATTCTGTATAAAAAATGATGCTAAGTAGTCTACTAGAAAATTCTGTCTCCACCTAGCTTAGATAAAACACAGGATATAAAACCAATATAAAAATAGTACTCAGAATTTGTAAAGATTTTTTTTTTGAGACAGGGTTTCTTTGTGTAGCCTTTGCTGTCCTGGAATGTTATTCTGCTTTCCATGGAGTTCTGGATTTCGGCTAGTGTTCTGGAGCTGGACTTCTGGACAGGGAATGCTGGTTCCGTTTCTCTCAGGGGCAGCTAGGGCACTTTAGAGGGAGGCCCAGGTGCTTGGCCTGGGTGTGGAAAAGGTTTTCCATAGAGTGTTACAGTGTAGCTCTTTCAGAATGAGATCACCAGTGGCAATGGAAACTCAGACATTCCAAAGCCTATGAAGTGTTACAGCTGTTGGTTAAATTGCTGTGCTGAGCACAGCAGAGGTGCGGGCCAAGGCTCATGTCTGGCCCACTTGTAATGGAGACACAAGCCTGTCAAGACCCAGGCCCAGCAGGCTGAAGGGCAGGCCTGGTGAGATGCCACTGGTGGGAGATGAATGATAAATCTCAGACGGTCATAGTGGAAGTCTCAGGCGGTCATGGTATCACTAGGCTGGTCACCAGCCAGGATGCACTCCGAGCAGCACATTTATTTGAAATCAGGGATTTATAAACCTTTGGACAGATAGAAGGGGTTTTGAGGGTGAAAGTGTTTGCTTTGCTTGGGTCAGGGACTTAGAGATACTTGATTTACATGTAATGATACAGCACTTCATTTTCCAGGCAGTAGCATGGTTCTATCCCAAGAAGGAGAACATAGTATCTAATAATCCTAGGAATGAGGGGCAAATCTCTAAGTACAGTTGAAGGTGACTGCTGAAGACTACTATCCTCAGCAGGGTTGGGCTTTTCTAGGAATTCCCAGATGCTCCATACAGCAGTTTTCTTATCAGGAAAGGGTCTGGTCTGTAATCTGGCCTGAGGGCTATGATCTAACCCAAATCAGGGTGTTATGCTCAGATCTTAAGGTCCCCAAGGACCACCAGGAGCCAGACTATGAATGCAAAAACAAAGAGTTTTATTTGAGCTTAAGCTCAGTCTCTCCACCATCACCAACTCTGTGGTTCAGAGAGGAGAGCCCTGAGCAGCTGCACAGAAGGGTTTTTATTGGAATTTCCAGCTTAGCAGTTACACCATTGAGTAGGATTGGGTGACATTCAGCAAGGGCAAGCTTGTTACAAAATGATTGGCTAACTAACATAACTAACATCGAGTGAGCTATCTATAGACCTCAGGAATATTAGGTCGGTGGACTGCCCAGCACAGATGCCCCACTCTGAGTCAGGATAACTTCTCATTTTTGTGGTTATCCTTAGGCTGTTCCTTGGGTAAGGAATTTTATAGCCCTTTTCTGGGACTTTTGGGGGAGGGGTTCAGGCTGGTCCTTTCAAGGGGAGACTTTTAGAACCCCACTGACAAAAGGGAGTCTATCCTCATAGTCCTAGCTCAAATAAATGGCTATCCAAGACGGCTGACTTTATTCTTATCCAGCAGAGCCCCACACTGGAACTGGCTCTGTAGACCAGGCTGGCCTTGAATTCAATGCTTTTGAAATAGTGGATGGAATCTTTCCTCCAAAACACCCCTAAAACCGTCCCTTTTCCTCTTTCTACTGATGTCCTCTATTCTGTGCACCTAAGCCTATGTGCTCAGCATTAGGTATCTGTTCTGGAAAAACTTCACCATGTACAGATCCCTCCATTTTGTGAACATCCCAAGACCTCTTTCAATAAAGGGGTTGCTTTTCAAAAGGGTGTGTGACACACACACACACACACACACACACACACACACACACACACACACACAGAGAGAGAGAGAGAGAGAGAGAGAGAGAGAGAGAGAGAGAGAGAGAATGGTGTTCCGATTTCAGGATCACCATGTAATAGAATCAATTCCTCTTTCTTCTCTGAACAAGATACTTTTTCTAAGAAAGTGAGAAGCAAACCTGCCTCTTTCTCCCAGGTACAGCTTTCAGTAATTCGTGAGCATGGCACATGGGTCAGATTCCAAAGGTCTGGGTTCTAGTTTTGCTTCTAAAAATACTCCAAGGTGTTCCCAGACAAGTATGTCAGCCAGTGAGTTGATGGTTCTGGTATTCATTTACCACTGTGTGGCTGTTGCTTTAAAAGTCGTCTGCTGCTCACATTGCTATCTTTCTTGCCTTCCTCTCAGCTGGAGATTACTGCCCTGTCTTTTGTCAGTGGAATCTTAAAATAAACCACATGTAACATTCAAAGGAGTCAACCTTCTCCCATTCCCACCCTTAACCTGCCTGTGTGAGGAAAGCTATATTGATGTCCATGCTCATAATATCAGGATTGAGTATCCTAAGCACACAGACATGACTCTGTCATTGTGATAGGGATTCCAGATAGCTCTAATGAGGAAAAACATGCCATCGTTATTCCTAGTCACCATTGTTATAATTTGTCTCATTTGATTTTGGACCACAGTGTTCACTTATTTCTTACATCAAAGCCCCCTTCACCTCAGAGCGCCCCAATAAGCTGACAGTCTCCTAGCATTTCTTCTTATAGCCAATGCTCAGAAAGCACACACATTCAGAGCTACACATGAGCAAATCTGTTTTAAAATCTTCTTTGTATATGAAAGAATAAACCTAAGTTTCATTTGCTATTGACATTGTGCATTTTATTCCCTGACCATTTGCTTCACTTGATATGTTCCCCCCTTATAGTATTGGGTGATCTTATCACACTGAAGCCATGATCTCTTCTGGAAAGTATTCCACAAAGACACCAAGTCCCCCCCACCCCTTCCTTCCTCCCCATCCCCTCATAGCCCTGAGATAAATGTACGAAATAAATGAACACTGTGATCCCAGGTCAGATGAGTCAGTTCAAATAATAAACTGTGAGCAGGGACAGCATTATAGCTATCTTCACATGGGAAGGTTGAGGGTGGTCATGGGAAAAGACTGAGTCATTTCAAAAGCACAGGAGGTCTGTTTTTAAGACCCCACTGACAAGAAGACAGAACAATCTCCTAAGGCTGAGAAGCGCCCAGAAAGAGTACCTAAGTGAGTGGCAGCTCACTTTGAAAACGAGAACCATACACTAGTAAATGAGGACCTGGACCATCAACTCACTGGGTTAAATACTGACCTGGGACATTTAGACATCTTTTATATGTCATTGTCAGAGCACATATTAGTCCACACACACACACACAAAAAAAAATGCAGGGAGTGACATACTTACATTTCTAGGAGTCCCAAGTAGATCCAGTGGACAGTGTCTTGTTAAGAACTGGGCATCCCTGGGTGTAGTAATGCTACTCTGTAGTCCCAGAACTAAGAAGCCATGGGCAGTACCCAGCCTGAAGCAAAAATAAATTGAACTGAAATAAAATCATAGAAGTTAAAAAAAAAAAAACAAAACAGGCCATCACCAGACATTGTGACACACAGCTATGATCCTACTAACTTGGGAGACTGACATAATAGGACCACAAGTTTAACCTGAGCAACCAATAAAATCCTGTCTCAACCTATCCATGAAAAGGGTTGGGGGAAGTCGTGGCTCAGTGGTATAACACTTCCTAGCAAGCACAGGGCCCCAAGCTCATTTCCCAACACCATAAAAAAGTGCATCACAAAACTTTGTGGCAAAAATCAATACTAAGGAGCCTAATTCTGTTTAATAACATATTTTGCATCATTTGATTTACCATTAGACTAATCACAGTGTGACAGAAAAATAGATACTTGGAGAAAACTACCTCAAGGTTAGCACACAAATGTAATCTTTTTTTTTTTTTTGACAGAGAAAGCCCCAAAACCCTTCTGAGCTTCATTTAACAATCAGAGAAGGCATGAAAATGTCAGCCAGCATTCCATACCGATAAGAGAGGAGGGTTCTATGTAAATATTCCATAAAGGGTTGTACAGCCTCATGATCCAGTGTTTTTGGTTCTTTACTAGCAGGTCACTAGCTCATCCTCAATCTTGTGAGTGTTTTTCCTTTTTTAATAAATAATCTCCATTTATACTTCTAAATTTATGCTCCTGGCCAAATTAATCACTTTTTGGGGGAAGAAAAAAACAACAACGATATTTCAGTAGATGCCCCGGATGTAGATCCACTACTATTACAACAGAAATTTGTTTTCTCTTTGAGCTTCTAAAACACAACAGCGGACCAGACTGGTAGATCTGCAAAGTTAATGACCATTAGAGAGTACACTTTCAACGAGACAGCTAGGGAAATTATGTTAGTGGATGAAGTAACAATGGGGCAAACCTGTGGCCTTATTGTCTGGTACCAAAGTTCTTCTGTTATTCATTATTATAATTTACTATTTATTGGCCATAGTGTTTTCGGTTAGAAGACAATACTATCAATTCCACAAAATGTAATGTTTGCTAAAAATACACTACTTAACTTTGTTCTCACTAGTTCACTAGCGGTAGGTACTGTTAATATGCCCATTCTTTGGAAGAGGAAGCCAAGGAATTGTATTTTTTTTTCATACAGGATGCCATAATCAGAACAAGGGTGAGTAGAGATTCCAACTCAGAAATTATCTTTTCATAAAGGCCCTGCACGACAGGCATGTACTGAGAGTTTGACAAAAATCAGAACAGAAAGAGACAAATTCAAGGCAAACACGTCAGAATAAGGCACACTGAGGGCCAGGATTGGTCCAGCAGCGTAAACGAGTCACGATAAACTATTCACAAAAGAAAATGAATTTTCACTTCAGAATGATTGTTAACCTTGTGAGTCATCCTCGAACAAATGAGAAAACAGGAAGGTCCGGCATTCTCTGTGTGTTTAGCATAAAAGATGCTCGGCTTCAGGAGTGAATTGGCGGGCTCAACAACTCCTGGCGTCAAACTCCAGCTGGAGTTTAGAGCTGGCCGGGGATGGGTGAGGGATGATACTGTGTCCGTTATGGCCCCGGAAGGATGCTGCGAGATTCTCGCCGGCTGCGGTCTTCCCAGAGGCCTCTGGGATGAAGCTGGTATGGCTACTGTCTCCACAGCTGCTCCCAAAGGCCGGAGGCTGCAGGGCAGCGTGTCGAAGGGGAAACAGTTAGCAGGGAAATCACGAAGCGTTGTCCCTGCTCAAGTCCAGAGGAAAAAAAGGTGGGAGGGGCATTTAGCAGTGGCGCGAAATAGGAGAACCAAAATGAGAAGGAACAGGAGGACGGAGAATGGGGTCAAACTGCAGGCGACAACTGATGACGTCCTCAGGTGTGTGTGGCGGGGGGTCTTGTCCCTGTTTCCGTTGTGTTGAGGGCTGGATTGATGGTTTTTCCGCTATTTGTGGCAGGGGAAGGGCGGGAGCTAGGAGAGAAGGTCTGTGATTGGACGACAAGATGCCAGAAAAAAAAAATTGCAAGGGCACTCACACAAATGCGCACTGCATCTCTATTGGTGGTTTTACTTGGTCCCCAGTTTTATTTTTTATTTTTATTTTTTTTAATTTTTATTTTTTTACTATTAATTACACTTTATTCATTGTATCCCCCCATAAGCCCCTTCCTCCTCCCCTCCAGATCCCACCCTTCCTCCCTCTTCATGCATGCCCCTTCCCAAGTCTACTGATAGGTGGTCCTCAGTTTTAAATTCAGCTCCTGGTGGGATGGCTGATTGGTAACTGTCACTCCTGCTGTGTTCTCAGTATTGCTTTAGAGGCTCAGGTGTAAGAAATGAATTAGACTTTATAAATTTCACCCTCTACATCCTGCCTGTTGCCATCAATCCTGCAAACAGAGGTGTTGACAACTCAAGTAGTTAGAGATACTACCCAGAGAAAAGTGTCAGCTATGACTCTGTGAGTCTTTAACCATCTTTTTAGAAGGAAACAAGGGCAAAACTTTCTCCTCTAGGCATTTCCCCACACCCCATACCCCACATGTTTCTTCCCTGTTTTGTTTGTTTGTTTGTTTTGGCTAGTGTTCTGTCATTTTATTTTAGATTTACATTAATTTTTCTTTTTTTATACTTTTAATTTTTTTATATTAATCACAGGTTATTTACTTTGTATCCCAGCCTTAGCCCCCTCCTTCATTCCCTCCCAATCCCCCCTCCTTCCCTCATCTCCTCCCTGCTTTTTTCCAAGTCCACTGATAGGGGAGGTCCTCCTCCCCTTCCATCTAACCCTAGGTTATCAGCATAAAACCAGATATGCTAAATCTATTAGAAGAAAAAGGGGGGAACAACCTAGAACTCATTGGCACAGGAGACAGCTTCCTGAACAGAACACCAACAGCACAGGCTCTAAGAGCAACAATCAATAAATGGGACCTCATGAAACTAAAAAGCTTCTGTAAAGCAAAGGACACTGTTGTCAGAACAAAACTACTGCCTACAGATTGTAAAAGGATCTTCACCAACCTTATATCTGACAAAGGGCTAATATCCAGAATATATTAAAAAAACTCAAGAAGTTACACAGCAACAAATCAAGTAATCCAATTAAAAAATGGGATACGGAGCTAAACAGAGACTGATACTCCACCAAGGACCAAAGGACTATGTATTGATATAACCTAGAACCTCTGCTCGGATATAGCCCGTAGTAGCTCAGTAACCAATTGCTTTCCCATAGTAAGGGGAACAGGGACTATTTCTGACAGGAACTCAATGGCAGGCTCTTTGGCCCCTCTCCCCCGCCAAGGTAGGAGCAGTCCTCTGCTAGGCCACAGAGGAGGACTTTGCAGCCAGTCCTGAAGATACCTGATCAAACAGGGTCAGATGAAAGAGGAGAAGAAGTTCCTCTCCAATCAGTGGACTTGGAAAGGGGCAGGGAGGAGATGAGGGAGGGAGGGTGAGATTGGGAGGGAATGAAGGTGCAGGATACAGCTGGGATACAGAGTTAATAAAATGTAACTAATACTAAAATTTAAAAAATTAAAAAAAGAACTAAAAGAAGTTAAAAGGCAATAAATCAAGCAATCCAATTAAAAAATGGGGTACGGAGCAAAAACAGAATTTCCTGTAGAAGAATATGGACTGGCAGAAAAACACTTAAAGAGATGCTTAATGCCCCTAGCCATCAGAGAGATGCAAATCAAAACGACCCTGAGATTTCATCTTACACTCATCAGAATGGGTAAGATCAAAAACTCAAGTGACAGCACATGCTGGAGAGGGTGCGAAGAAAGGAGAACCCTCCTCCATTGATGGTGGGAATGTAAACTTGTACCACCACTTTGGAAATCAATCTGGAGCTTTCTCGGACAATCAGGAATAGTGCTTCCTCAAGATCCAGCTATACCACTCCTAGGCATATACCCAAAAGATGCTCAAGTAAACAACACGGACATTTGCTCAACCATGTTTGTAGCAGCTTTATTTGTAATAGTCAGAAGCTGGAAACAACCCAGATGTCCATCAACAGAGCAATGGATACAGAAATTGTGGTACTTTTACACAATGGAATACTACTCAGCAATCAAAAACAAGGAAATCATGAAATTTGCAGGCAAATGGTGGGAGCTAGAAAAGCTCATTCTCCCTCATTCTCCCCCATTCTGCTGCTTTTTGGGGAGATGAGTAGCACATAAGACCCAGACTGGTGGATTCTATAGAAAGGCAGAACCTATTTGTGAGAATCAGTCTTACTCCTTTCCTGTGAAACCTGTATTCAAACTGTGTTTTGAACAGCAGTGCAGCACCATGGTTTTTGCTGGCTCAAGTATTTGATAAGCACCTGTACCAATTCTTTGGTTTTTCTAAAACAATTCATACCCAGAAATCTGGCATCTATCAGAAAACCTAAGCAAACATTAAAAAACAAAACAAAACAAAACAAAAAAACAAAAACGGAACTTTTTCTTCATTAAAAAATTTAAAGTTGTATAGGTGTTTTTCTTGCACATATATCTGTACAGTGCATCCATACAGTGCACACAGTGTCCAAAAGAAAGTGTTGGATTTCCTGGGAATGGAGTTGCAGATGGCTGTGAGCTATCATGTGGGTGCTGGGAATTAAATCTGGGTGCCCTGGAAGTGCTCTGAATGGCTAGGCTGTCTCGCCAGCCCCACTAAGCAAACTTAACACTTTGGAATCATCCAACACGTTGCTCTGTTAATCCCATAAACAATAGTATATAGCAGGTAATTCAAGTCAGTAGTTTTCAAGTTTCTTCGGCCATCCCAATCATCTGGAGGGCTTGATAAAGCAGAGGGCCGGGTTGAAGCCATATACTTGCTTTTTAAGGTATTGTGGGTGGAGCTTCAAATTTAAAGTCCTAAAAAGTACCCAGGGCATGTAAACACCACTGGCCCCAGAACCAGTCTTGGAGAAGTCGTGCTCTACACAGAACTGACAAAAGTAAACAGGATTTAAATTCCCAATTATTATTAAGCATTGCTCCTTCTGGGTTAGGTCTGAAAATATCCCCCCCCCCCAGTATACATTAACAAGAAACAAAACCACATTTTTACATGCATGTGAAACAGTATTTACAGTTTTGACCAAAAATGGGAAGAGAGAAACTCTCAAGTTTATCTACACCTTGCTCATAGTAATGTTTCAATTTACAGAAAACACTAATTTTTGGGAAACAAGTCCCTGTAAATAGAGCTATGGACTCATGTTAGTACAACTGGGTAGTAGGCCTTTCCAATGGTAGGTACCAGGGCTGTTGAGATGCTCCATTTTCATTCCTGATATGACACTTCCTGTAGGAATCCTAATTCTTTACTGAGTTAAAAAATTGTTAAGGAAGTCTAGGTACACTCACAAATGGATTCTGTTTGCATATGACAGAGATAATATTTTATTCACTTTTATCCAGAGTTTTTTTTTTGTGTGTTCTGACAACTTCACTGACTGTAGGCCATACCAATGTTATATTTATGAATGTAATGTGGAATAATTAAGTCGACAAATTAGCATATGTATGACCCAAAATGAAAGAGATTTACATTTTCACTAGTCACAGCACTGTTTTTTTTTAATTAATTTTTTATTTATTCATTTATTACAGTTTATTTACTTTGTATGCTAGCTGTAGACCCTGCCCTCATCCCCTCCCAATTCCACCCTCCTTCCCTCATCTCCTCCCATGCTCCTCTCAAAGTCCACTGATAAGGTAAGTCCTCTTCCCCTTCCATCTGACCCTACTCTATCAGGTCTCATCAGGGCTGGCTACATTGTCTTCCTCTGTGGCCTGGTAAAGCTACACCCCTTTCAGGGGAAGGTGATCAAAGAGCAGGCCACTGAGTTCATGTCAGAGACAGTCCCTGTTCCCATTCCTAGGGAACCCTCTTGGACACTGAGCTGCCATGACCTACATCTGTGCAGGAGTGCTAGGTTATCTCCATGCATAGTCCTTGTTTGGAGAAAAGACTTCTGGGCCCAGATTATTTGGTTCTGTTGCTCTCCTTGTGGAGCTTCTGTCCCCTCTAGGTCTTTCATCTCCCCCTTCTTTCAAGATTCCCTGCACTCTGGCCAAAGTTTGGCTATGAGTCTCAGCATCTGCTTTCTTGCACTGTAGGGTAGTGTCTTTCAGAGGCCCTCTGTGGTAGGCTCCTGTCCTGTTTCCTTTTTTCTCCCTCTTTCTATGTCCATCCCATTTGCCTTTCTGAATTAAGACTAATTATCTTACCCAGTGTGCTCCTTCTTGATTAGCTTCTTTAAGTATACAGATTTTAGTATGTTTATCCTATGTTATATGTCTAATATCCACTTATAAGTGAGTGTATACCATATGTGTCTTTCCATTTCTGGTATACCTCACTCAGGATGATTTCTCTAGTTCCCTGCATTTGCCTGCAAATTTCAAGATTTCCTTGTTTTTATTTGCTCAGTAATATTCTTTGTGTAAATGTACCACAATATCTGTATCTATTCCTCAGCAGAGGGACATCTGGGTTGTTTCCAGCTTCTGGCTATTATAAATAAAGTTGTTACAAACATGGTTGAGTAAATGTTCTTGTTGTATATTTGAGCATCTTTTGGATATATGCCCAGGAGTGGTATAGATGGATCTTAAGGTAGCATTATGGCTAATTGTCTGGGAAAGCACCAGATTGATTTCCAAAGTAGGTGTACAAGTTCACATTCCCACCAGCATTGGAGGAGGGTTCCCCTTTCTCCACATTCTCTTCAGCATGAGTTGTCACTTAAGTTTTTGATCTTAGCCATTCTGATGGGTGGAAGGTGAAATCTCAGGTTCGTTATGATTTGCTTTTCCCTGATAGCTAAGGATGTTGAGCATTTCTTTATGTGTTTCTCTGCC